ACTACATGATCTTTGAGGGCTTGATTTAGCGCCGCCATGATCCCTTTTTTCACACCTTTTGCTAAGACGGTGGTTTCACGGTCCTTTTGGTCATTTTTTCACCTTACAGCTTTCATTTAGGTATCAGGAGGTTGGGTGACGACAGTCGTGCTCCGAAATGGGGCACCCTATGCCACATTCACATCTCGAACGTCTGAAGTTGCTTTTGATGGTGAGTTGGTGCCAGGTTTTGTTGTCTCATAAGTCTGTCACCAATCAATAATGTACTCACCGTAACTATGGCCAGAGGTTTCAGACTCGTCCTCATCACGTATCATCTACATGGATGATGGCTTCTCTGTGACACATGGTGGTATGACATCACTACTGGATGCACATACGCATCCAGCACACGGTGAAAGCAGTGTACTGAAAATGAAGACCACTATTGATGCGTTACAGGTAGATTTTGGCCATGAGCCAACAGCCCCCATGGAGAGATGAATTTTTTTCAATGCCTACCGCCATTTTCAGAATCCGGCACGCCGTTCGTTGACGTCGCGCTTTGACTGGCGTCCGTTTGTGAAACGTGGTGGAGCGGAGCGTCGAATCGCCGAGGTTGGCGCTCGACCCAGGGTCAGTCGAGCAGAGGAGGATGATGGACTGAATAACCGCGCTAAAACAGCATGTGTGCCAGATTAACTGAGTGGCGATAGAATAACTCTAACTGTTAGGAACTAACTTGACGCACTAGAAATGTTGAAATGAACACTAATTGTGTTCAGTTCGGCTGGTTCTAGCAGAAAAGTGGCCCCTCAATGAAATCATGCGATTCGCCATGATGAGGAATAGGTATCGATTTTACGCAAAATGGAAAAACTGCAGCGATTGCAATCTGGGCCAGGGGGTGATTAGGGTTATATGACGATGCGACAGAATGATCGTGTCTTTAGTTTCAGATGATTCGCCTTTAGTTGTGATAACGTTTTCGCTGCAGGACCACGATGCAGGGCCCGAAAAAATCTTCAGTGCGACCACACGCTTGGCAGCTGTGCACTAGCACGGGCGTGTACAGCACAGTTAGCACAAAAAAAAACTTTCATAGGGATTCTACAATCAGCAATTCTACAAATCGCCGGAAACAGTCATTTCCGTCAAGCCTACCGCGACGCAGCCGCACGCTCAACAGTTATGAGTTACGACCACCTCTAGTGCCGTTAAAGCAAGCGATAAATCATGTTCTGTACTCTACATGGCTAAACAAATGACTATTTGTCCTAGATTGTATATCCCCTAACTAGTAACCTCCCAATACATTTAACCCGAGTCCAGATGTCATCTAACTGCTCGACTAACACTGTGTCTTCTTCATTTTCTTCAAAATTAACCCTTAATTCCAATCTAACCTCTTCAGGTTAATGGCGTGAATGTTTTCACGGTGACCTTCGATCGAGTGGCAAAGAGTGACGTCATCAGTGCAAAATCAGAAGACGAGAACACTTCGCTTATTGTATATGGATAGTGGTGAACTGCGGCAAATTGTCCAAGAAGCGCCGATCGATATGGAGCCGGTGTACAGATTAGCGAATCTGACCATTAACTACGATTCTCTGGGCAGAAGGTCGGTGTCTCAAGATTTGCGCATGGAACTTAAAGGCAGTGATCGCGACAACTGGGAGGCGGGGTCAGTATGGTGACGTCATTGGTGGGAGGGTCTCAGGAGGCCTACAGCCACACCATTAATTCTGGTAAGCTGTAGGGTAGGTCAGACCACTTCTTAATGCCCTTCCACCGATGCCGTTGCCAAATCGACCCTGCCTCCCAGTCTTCGCGATCATTACCCTGGATCAACGATGTGCGAGGGAAGGTGAAAAGAGTGTATTTTCAGGAACGAGCTGATTTGGGGAAATCCGGAGCACGCAGGTGACGTACGATCGACAGAATCGTGTTGTGGAACGAACGATTAGTGATTTTGTATCCACAAAATATGCCTACTACAAGGAACTTCGGCATCCTTCAACGGTCGAACTGCCCGGTGGCTCAAAATATTCCCTCAAGGTAAGATTTTCCCTAGTCGCTAGGATGCTAGTCCATTTCTGCGGGTAAAGATCTAATGTTCCACCAGTTGTGAATGAAGTCCAAGTAGGATCACAAACCCTTGCACTGGAAAATTCGGGAAAGTCACATTCATGTTTTTTTGAAAGGGGCCCCTCAGAATTAGTGGATTTTTTTTGAAATAGGGACACCACAAGGGGGCTCGCATAAGGGTTGTGTTGGGGTCTTCTCCAGGATGGGGCTCTTAAGGAGGACAGCATGCGTCCAACCAATGGGTAACCCGAGTGCCTGTTCCCTTGAGTGATCTGTGTACGGCTTGGTGCAGGGGGCCATTGTTGGGGTATTTCTGTTCGAACACGGCGCACGTAGGAGCTCGCGTCTTAACACAATCGTCTCAGAAGCGGGTATGTGCCGTTTTTCCACTACAATGGCTTTTTCCACACAATGGACACAGAAATGGCGTCATGGGGTTCATGGTGCGCGATTCTAGTCAAAAACGCGTGCGCATTGGCCCCGAGCAGAACTGGCGAGATATCCGCTTAAGGAGCGGCAACGGCGTGCGTTACTTAGAAAAGGGAGAGGCAATTAAGTAGCGAATCGATGCTATACTTTAGGATGGATATTGATTTTATTAAGGTTATTCTGATTGCGTATGCACCGTGGCCGTCTCAGGGAAATCGTGACACCATCTAGCGAATCTCATCATTTCGCAGCGACGCCTTTTGGTAGTGGACGAGTTCTGAAGAGACGGTACGTCACAAATTTTTTTTGAAATCAAGTTACAAATAATAGTAAAATAAGAGTTAATAATGTAATAAAAAATAAAGAAACAAAATAAATGAAACAAAAAATAAAAGTATTCATTCGATAGTTACATCGCTTTTCCTTATTAGGGTCAGGGAACTTTTTTCTAACTTTTGACGCATTATTAATTTTCATTGTTGAATCATCGAGTGACGCTAGGCAACCACGAACACGGCAACATCCTGCCCCGCTTCGTGAAATGCTTAGCGTCAAAGGAAAAGACAGGAAATTGACTGTAGAAATGGGCGGATTGTTGAAGTTTCTTTGCGGTTACGAGCTTCTCTTATTTCGAGCGGATTTTTGATTGGTTCGTTGCAAAACCGTTATATATTGTTGGCGCTATGGTCATTTAGGGGGAGGGGGCGTGTTGCCAGTCACATGTGTTGGCAAATAGTTAGGAGAGGAAAAGGGACTGGAGGGACGTGGCATCCTTTGTTCCTGTTTTGTGCCTCTGCGATTCCACTTTCTGGCCCAAGTTCAACTATCACTGGGTTTTGAAGGCCACTTTTTATCGTTTTCATGCTTTTGTTAAAGGAGATTCCCTTGCAAGGCCATACCGCAGTTTCAATAGAAATGTTGTTGTTTGGATAAAATTTGTTGTTTATCGTTTAGTCGTTTGATATAAGGGACGTTAAGTTCGAGTGCTTGAGTTCTATAATGGGGGGTGCTTAACAAATTATTGGGACGATGCACAATCGGCTTAGGATTCCATTTACGAAAAAGCCATTTGTGGCGGCTGAGGACAGTGAAGGGCGATTGTTGGAATGGACGACGGCAGACGAACTCCATCATGTTCTTCTACAACGTGACAAGTATAATCGAGTAGTGAAGGTACCTTTAAACCGTCATGATTTTGTTTTCTAGGTTTTTTGCTCAATTACTGATCAATCATATTTTTTCCAGGAAATGTGCGACACAGGCGTCACTGTTTTCACCTATGATGCAGACAAGTTGGCAACTGTGGAGTCATCCCACCTGCAAGTGAATCTGACATACCAGGGACCGTTGCTGGTGTCAATGAGCGAACGAAGGCAGACGAAAAATGGGTGAGCGTCGGTATTAATATTAGGTGTCGTCGCTTGCGACCCATCTGAGCGTGCTTCTCCTCCCCCCTCCCCCCCAAATGGCGGATTTAAAGCAACAAAACCAGATAAATTTGGTGGGGTAAGGGCAGTCGATAATGGATTTGTGGATGCCGAAATGACTGAAAACGAAAAAGAACCAAAGCAAGCCGGCGGCGAATCCATGATCAGTTTTTCCTCTCTTCCTCCTAGAAGTAAGGAAGAGGCGTGGTTGGACGAGTTGTACGCTCACTGACCCGCGCGTATTTGAATTAGCCGCTACGCCGTAATCCACGTTGCGTGTCATGGGGTGTGCGCGACGTAACTCGTCCAAATGCTAAGATTAGTCGCCAAAAGCTGACTTTGTAAGACCCTAACGACTTCTGCTGAGGCTGTTGCTTCAGAAGTTTCAAAATATCTGGCATAATATGGCTGCTGTTTAGTTTTAGATGGCGAGATTCGTCGTTCGCTGTAGAGCATGACGAGCTTTTGCGACCGACTTCCATTCAAGCGGTAATTTCTGGTACTGCGGTTGAACCTATACAGGTAAGTAATTTGTTTCAATGGTCTGAACTTGTTCTTCATCTGAAAAATGGCCTCTATGATGGGTGTGGTTTGCATCGCTGCTTTGAGGCGCCCTTCTCCATTATTAACTGTTGGAATCAAAGCTACTGGGGTATTTTATAGAAAACGCGTTAAGAGCTTACAATCAAAGCCTGTTCAAGTAAAACTTCCAAATTGCTCAATCATGATGCCATGCCGCAACACGTCCGCGCGCGGCAGTGCCGTTGTAAGCGGGAATGGAATTGTTCGAAATACCGCGCGCTCAATGAAATTGCAGGCTTTTGATCAATTAAGTTATATCAATTACAGGAGCAGCATTCATAAGTGTTCTTATACAAGCGCTGACTGCTTCTTGCCGTCCGATTCGGCCTCCATGGGGGTACCCCAGCTTTTTCTCCCCGCGGATTGAATCAGAGGAGGGGAGGCATACCCTGGGGAAGGATTGAAGACGGGCCTTGATGGGCAATATGAAGCGATAATAGCTGTCGAGAGCCAATCAAAGCCCAAAATTTAGTTTGAGAAGTTCTAGAAACGATTTTCAGCTTGTTTCCACATGGCACTCACAGCAGAACTATATGAACTGCGTAAAGTACAACGCTGCGATCGTGGAGGAAAATTTGAGCGGATGCAGGTGGGTCTTGCTGAACTTGGTGTTTTGTGTTTCTGAATTGCCGTTTATCCTTCGGCCTACTAAATTGTAATTTCAACATATTCATTCTATATACTTTCAAATCAGATGTGTCAAAGCTATTCCAAGTTGAAAAGCTTCTGCAACAATTCGAGAACGTCGCTGTACATTTGTCACTCTAGGCGATGCAAGTGAAGCTGCTTCTGCGTGACATTCCGACAAAAATGCATGATACCTCAATTCAGGACCACACACGACATCACCACTAACACCCTATATAATCTCACGAGACCGACACTATCGGTCGAGGCAACACACCCCAAACACGTCTATATGCCAAATTGTGCAGGTAGCCGAACTGTAACTTGTACCTGAGTGTGCGAATGCATTGTTCGAAACGAAAATACTATTCTTGATCATTAAGGCCTCAAGAATCAATATAACAAGGTGGTTATTCGCGTTAGGGCCCTTTGAAAAAAATAGATGGTGTGTACCTTTTTTGTGACATGTTTTTATCGTCAATTCCAAAACTCGTGAATTGCTGCGAAATTTAATAGCATCGCATAGTCCAACTGAAAAGAGCGAGAGTTAATAATTATTGGTACTTCTAGTTAGGGAATCGGGCAAAATAGGTCACAAAGGCTAGATACCACAATCTGTGTTATCGCGGACGTCTAAGAACAATTAACATCTCCCGCAGAAAAAACATCACCGGACGCTCATTTTAGGACAGGAGCGCGCTCTCGATGCGCTGTAATTGAGCCACTGCCAATTAGAAGACAGACTTGCCACCGTCGCTCGTTTGTTACTACATTAAAATGACTGATCTTACGCGATTCGCGAAATATTCTGTTCCCTCCACCGTGCTCCATTACTGCTACTCCCTCATCCAGCGTCATAACAGTGCCCAGTCGTAGAACAATAAATCTTACCGCGAGATATATGTTTATCATCTCGCACACTTTGCACTCTCCTTTCTTCTTCTACTTCTTTTCTCCAAAGTTTTTTCGGCATAACACAACAGGGCCACATTTTGCTTCGCTCACGAGTGCGTCAAGATACACCATGCTGCTGAAAAAAAAAATCTTTGTCCCCTCCATAATACCCCGACCGGCTTACCCTGAAGGAGGCCCTGTCCGGCGTGCCACATTAACCGTTGGACCGAGGGGACACTCGATCGATAGACGCTGATGCGCGACCAATCTAAAGTACGTCAAAAGGGTAAAACAGAACTCTAGTGCCACTGACGCGAACTACTACAGTACACGGCGACTCGTCCGCGACCTGCTCTTCTTGCCGCGCGACGGCCTCCCTTTGGTACCCATACAATCCTCACTTTGCGTCAAAAGTACGACTCTTTTCTCAAGTCCTTCTCTCTGAGACTCCTCCAACGATGCTGTAACCTGGTCC